CCCAGTTTAAAACAATTTCTGGTTCATCCAATTGAGTAGCCCATTTCTTCAAGATTAATATTACTTTTTGGTTGCTGTGAGAGAGAACTATCCGCATCAATTTATATGTATATATTTTAATTTTGAGTTGAGCAGATGTATCATGTAGGATTGAGCAGGATCGCCTTCTTGACTCGATATTAGCTTGAAGTATTTGAAAGAATGAACGCCGGCTCTGATGATGTCCATCAAGTGGTATGACGGACGAAAGCTCAGCCCGTTTTCAGACGAAACGAAGGATGGACTGCGTCAACCTGAAGATTGTATTAAAGCCAAACGGCCGCAGAAAAACGGAAATCAGCTGTCGTCTTCTGGTAAGATCGACCTGAGAATCTATTTAGCATGCACTTTCATAAGAAAGGAAGATCTACACAACAATTTTATCTGAAGATATTCATCAAAACCCAGCTACTTCTTGTATATCATTTTTGGCTGCTTAAGTGGTTAACTATCTTTTTATATTTATATTTTATTTAAATAGGTTTATTTATTTACTTTAGTTTAGTATTTTGCTTTTAGTAATTCAAGGTTGAAGTTTTAGCTCCAAAGTTCAAAGCAATTTACACTCGAGTTTTTCTGAAAATTCAAGGACGGGATCACTCGATGGCCATAACTCTGCCAATATATAAGAAACTATGAATTTTTTATTGAAACTGATGTTAGCACATGGTGTAAAGTGAAGTAACATTTGCCGTGACTATTAATAACTCTTTAGCTCGAACTTGAGCCAGCCTAGGTAGCTTAAGGTGATGCAGATACTGAAAGTTGGATTTCCCAAAATGAAATGAGTGTGTCTCAAAATGCATTTGAATTTAGCTCTGCCTTGTTTCGAAAAGGCTTCCTCACCCTGAGTGGACGGCAATCTCGACCTAGCTGGGGTATCATCAGCACCCCCAGCAGGATTTGATAAGAAAGTCTTTTTAAGAAGCAAGACTAAGTAAAATTTAGTGGCATCATGATGCCTACTGTTGAGAGCTGCAGCTAACTGTTCTTAACGCGCCTTAAGCGACCCAGGAGAACTCGATTTCTTAGCAAAGTGGGTCAAACCAGTCAAATCTATCCCAACAGAGGAAGATTCATAAGAAATGATACCAACATCTCACCTCGAGTAGTTGGTCTCCAACGCATATTGAACCATCTTGATCCATTAGACTCCCCGGCCGGATGCCACAGACATAAACGGCCATCTTGTTCAGATCTCGACTGCCCGAAAGGCTCAGTCCAAGCTGCAATTCGTTCTCGTGACCGGCTTCCGTGCAGAGCTTGCTAACGGCCACCTCAACAGAAATCAGTTCCCCTGACAGGTCACCGTACTTTCTGAAAAGGCGTTCTAAACGAATGGAGAACAAAAGATAAGGGATTTTTTAAAGTTCCCATCCTAAGGCAAAATAAAGAAAATTATGTGAGAAAACTTGCTTATAAACAAAGAGAATATTATATTAAGCATACTCAAAAGAGTTATTCTATTTGGCAGCTCTCCTGTTTAAGTCTGATTTGGCTTAGTATAAAGAGAAGCTTGGTTTAAAAGCATCCCTCATAAAATTGCTTTTGTATATCTTTCAATTCTTCTGAAAAAAAAGGTGGAAGAGATTCGTAAATTAGCACCACCAGAAACAAAGAAGAATTGCTTCTATTGTATCGTTTGGGTTGTTTGAAGTAGGCCTCAGCTCACCGTTTTGCGACCCCGACGAATTCGTGTTGAGCTTTTTATGTCCTCCCATGACAAAAATCCTCAGAATAGGAAACCACCATTTATGAAAAATTCACCAAAACGCTAAGTCATGCTTTTTCTAGTGATATGGTACTTTTTTTCGTAAAGCTCAGCATGAATTCATCGTGGTCGTATAACAGTGAGTTGAGGTACTCAGTGCACAATAAGTTTTCAACTCCAAAAAAATTCCACTCCGGGTTTAGCTGAGGCTAGTTTACGAAATTAAAGGTACATCACCATGGTCATGTTTTGGAAGACATTGCACACATAGTTGTGCTCAGCTGTAGCGGATTACAATTGCATTACAAGCCTACACAAATTCACATGAGAATCAAACTAATGAAATAACCTTCAAGATCTCGTCCTGAAAGAATCCAGCATCAGATGCAGTGCGATCTGGGCCGTGAACAAGGGGATCGGGGCAGAGGGGAATCTTGAAAGCCCACTAACGACAAAATTAGGCATTTAGCACAAAACATTGTCCGCGGTACCCAGCACTCGAGAGAGTAGGTAAAATT